CCAACCTTAATAGTTCTGTGATTCTGTGAAAGAACGATTAAATTCCTTAACATCACATGAACCTGCAGTCACTTTCTCAGGGCCTGATTTTCCATCTCTACACATAAATATCCATTTTTAATAATTCAACATGAATGTAAAAATGCTATTGCACATGCCTGCATTCACTCGGCATGGATAAAAAATTAATTCCTCTGTTTGTTATGATAGTGCAGACAGATCTTTCATAACAGGATCTCAGAAACCAAACATCCTCCTTCCCCTCCTTTCTTGGGAACCAAGGTAAAAAGAAAGCAGATTAATAGCCTCATTTACCGTTTTTGACACGTAAGTTGTACTTGTATTCATGCAGCTCAGACTCTCCTCGTTGCAACAGCCTCCACATCTGAACACATTCACACAGGGAGGCTTGAAAAATTTGTTCGTCGTTGTACCCAGCTCTTTGGCAACTTCCACACAGGTTTCCCTTGGCACGCATTGAGTCTTTTGCCATTCCTCGTCTATGACTGGAGAAAACACCATTTTTATGAGCAATCATAGCAAAGTTAAACCTCTGATTAGTGAAGCAGAAGATTATATAAATAAAAACGAAGTGCTGGCAGGCCATTTGCGCTTACTTGGATCGATTTGCACTTACTTGGATCGATCTAAGGACCAGAGAGAGTCTGAGTGCAAAATTATCCCAGTAACTTACACCAGCTGCACTGGCAGGGAGGTCATTGCATTTATCCTCCTTTAGCCTTCAACGTGGATGACCAAAATCTCTGTGAATTCTAGTGGGTTAAGTAGAGCTGCATTGATTTCCCCTAGCCAAGGGTCAGCTCCACGGCGTCTTTCTGACAAAGCTGGCCCGCACCCTGTTCTCCTTTTCTCCAGCATAGACCTCCTTGTTGTCATTTTATCCTCTCTTTGCGTGTACCCCACCACTGACTCAGTAGAGCCTGGGCCTGACTGCAAAAGAACATTAATGATTAACAGATTCTGGTCAGAGGGTATTAATACTCCTACTGGATGTCAGCCAGCCAGCACCGTTTCCAAAATGTCTAATGAAATCCAAGACAAACACTCTCACACCTCAGTATCATCAGGGGGTTCAAGTTTGAATAACAAGAATATGAATTCAAGCATGATTTATCTATTCAAAACACTGTGGCATCTTTGAAATATTGAATTGTTGTAGACTAGTAATTCATTTTAAACTGGTCTGTCAAATTCTGACTGTGAGAAGGAATAATGCATTAACTGACTGAACCAGAGGGAGAAAACAGTGACATTTACATAATATTATCTCGAGTCTTGTTAAGAGGTGGCCCTGCTTTTTTTGGCTTTTGCTTACCTGATTCAGGTTATGGAATTACTCGAGAGTCATCAATGCTTATGCTTTAAGTCCTTCTTAAAATTATGAAACACATTTTTCCTGTCTGCCCCCCTCCAGCAGGCTTCTGAAAGATCAAAAGCAGCTTCTATACTATTAAGAAAGTTGTTCTCTCTTCCAATGCAGTCCACCTCCCTACTATTGTGCAAGCAGTGCACAAGTTTACAGGGAAGTTTTGAAAAAAAGTCAAATTAAAAATTCTGGAATACTTTTAATCTACATGCTATACTTCATCTTCAGATGAGCATTTATCTCTCTTTCCTACCTGACTTTCCTTTTATTATTTTTAACTTTTTCTGCAACCGCCTGTGTGTATTTAAATCAGTTTGTTTATTCCTGCAAAGTCCTTCCCAGGGTTGATTCACTCCACTTTCCAGTCATGCAAAAAGTACACGAAATAAGAGCTTGGGGTCAAAATTCTGATTTTACAGCATAAAATTGAATGGAATTGTCTAGAGTAATGTTAGTCTATCAAAACAGCAATCTAATCCTAGGCCTTAAAATAGAAAATAAAGTGTTTGCCAAACTCATTAAGGTATGTGCATGTAGTCACTTCAGATGTCACTTCAATGAGTGTAAGTGGTGATGACCTTTACAACTGCGCACATCCTCGCTTTGTTAACCGCTTCTTCAGCAGAAGGGCTGTTATAGGAAGGGGCGGTCGAAGAAGTGGGTGTCACATTTTGTTCAGAAGCACCGTGGTCACCCTGATCTTTTCTGTGGGCAAGCACAGGGCACCTTCTGAGAAATTTGGCTCCAATACAGACTGCAGCTTGAAAGCGCTGCAGTCCTAGGTGAGCTGAGCTGAGCTGGTCAGGGGAGACTGGGGTTAGATGGGGTGACAGGAGTTTTCAGTGAATTCATCGTTAAAGCTCTAGAAAAGAGGAACAAAGTCTTGAATTTGTCTTGCTGGAGTTTGGAGTGCTGTTGAAGATGGTCTAGCAGTGAAACAATGAGGAGCCTTGACCCAGTCGTCTCGTCAAAACACTTTCTTAAAACAAAACAGATGCCCTTGGCAAAAAGGTCAATGCTTAATGACTGGAAAGGGTGTGGGAAAGAAATACATGTTTATAGGCTTGTTTTTTTAAAAGGAGTTTTAGTACCTTGAACATATTAAGATATTAGAACAAAAGTAGTTTCTGTCCTGGGATAAGTAAACTTTGGATGGAAGAATGGAGAAGATGAGCCAATAGGCTTTTTTTAACTTAAATTTCAGTGGCTTGACTTTGAGTGAGAAAGCTGACATCTCTGTGTCTAGAGTTAGACTTTTAAAGGGAAAGTAGGAAGCACCCTAACAGCTGTTCCAAGCAGAAAATTACATCTGCATGACTGTAGTCATATGACTTTACTACCTGAAAGGTTACATTATTCTGCCATTGAAAAAAGCCCACTGAAATATGCACTGCCTCAGTAACACTTGGTAACATCCTCTGTTGTGTTGCTGTTTTGACAAAAGGAATATTTTAATTTTTCAAAAATCCTGGTGCTCACTAAATGAGCAATAGTGAGTAGGGAATAACTGTATGGATTGTTAATATTGCTGTTTAGACTTGTAAAAGTATGTAAACAAAATGTTTATGATTAATTAAAGCCCTCTTAATTGTTCTTCCAGTGTGCCTTGGATTTAGCTTTTTTCTGTACAAAATTTCTGTGGGAAGTTTAAAACTATGCCTGTGATATGAAAACCCTTTTCAGACTGGCACACATGTCTGCATTTCTGTGCTGTGGCTCAGAGAAGCAAATTAAGGCCTTTGCTGAGCCATAATTTAGCTGAGTAATGGTGTGCAAATGTGGCTGCGGTTATTGTAAAAGTGGTATTGGAACAGGATCAGCAATATCTGGTTTCCCAAAAGGAAAGTGATATGATCATATCACTTCAGGGTAAACACTGAACAAAAAAGAAAAGCTCTGTCTGTCCTTCGTTAGGCTGCTGTGTAGCTTTGCTGTAGGATATCCATTTGCTAGACCAAAGTAGAGTAACTGATCCTGTATTTTACATCTGTGAACATATAATGCCTCTTGAGTCTCTCACCTACAAGGAACAATACTCATTTTTGCTCCAGGTGAGGGAATAGATTGTAATTCCCCGCATTCAAGTGTTGGTTGGTTGTTTCAGGATCTACTACTTCTCTCTGGAGAGGCTTCCTCAAAGAGATTGAGCTTAGGGCAATACCTCCTTCCTCTTCAATTCCCACCCAGACACTGCTGCTGATGCAGTGCCTTATATCAAAGCACACCTAATAAAAAAAAGGATTTCTATGCCTGCAGTAAAGCTCGTTTGTTTCTGCCTGCAAGCAAATTCTGAGGTTTAGCACAATGCTGCTGGCCACCCCTTCGGCTGGTCATTCCAACCTGTTCTTTGCACGTTGACTTCCCCTCCTTTCGGTGGACTGAGAAATCCATACATAATACATCTTCCCTTTGGAGAGTATGCCGAGAACAATAAGCCTGACTTGGCCACAAAACAGGGAGGCGTACTCCGGCTGTTGCCTGACATATTTTCATACAAAGTCATTTTCCATGAATGCCCTGTTGTTTCCAGAGCGGGAGTATTCTAGGAAACCCCTGGTACTTAACGCTTTGCTGCACAAGAATCAGGGGTCCTGAAGCGGAGGTCAGGCTCAGCCGCAAGCCCGCACCTACCTTTCAGTGTATCGATATCATAGAAAGCAGCAGCAAATCTGGTGGAGCGATGCGATGCAGAGCGGGAGTCTAAATTGGCCAGACTCTTGAGTTTTAGCCTGCATTTCCACAGCTTCCAGTCCTCGGAGTGAGTGATGCGAAGCAGCTCTTCCAGGCTGGATGCTCTCCTGATCTGCTGTTCTGACCGCTCCAACGCCGACAGCGATGTCCTCTGGAGGGGAAGGGGGAAGTCAGAAAGCCAGTACCGGTACAGCCTGTCCCCAGTGCAGCGCACGGAGCACGCAGAGGTGTCCCGGGCTTTGGCGGTGCCCGGCACCAGATTGATCTGCAAGATTTGTGCCCATATAAGTTGGGAAGAGGAGGTACCCCCTTCCTCGCCCTTTCCACCACAGCCCTCAGAGCTATTTGGCAAACGCAGACTTTGCCGTACCCCCGGGCCCCGGGGCAGCTGGCAGGCGCCGATGGCATCGCTGCCGTGCCTGAGCTGGCCCGCCACGCCAGCGTGAACCCCGGCTTGCCCTGCAGACAACCTGAATGAGTTCGGCGGGTGAGCACAACCCGTGGGCCTCGGCAGCAAGCCACCTCGCCTGCCAAAACTCCGGCGCCAGCCATGAGGCAGCGCGGCGGGGGCAGGGGATACAGCCGGCAGCTGCCCTAAGTACAAGGCCTCATCCGCGTGGCCGGCAAACACAGCATTCGAGGTGTGGCAAAGTGCACCTGCCATGTCCCACCCTGACTACCCTTTGGGTCGTGCCCAGGCCAGCCGGAGCGGCCCCAAGCCCAGCCTCAGCGCCGCGGCTGTGCAGCGGCGTTAGCGCGGTCATTGCGTTTTCCAGCTGCCTCATGGACGTGACCGTTCTCCGCTCCCACGGGAGAGCACTCCCTGCAAAGACCTACCCCATCAGTTTAAAGTTGTTATTCACTTAAAAAATACCTGTCTAACAGAAACTTAATATTGCACAGCACCCCATAACAGTTCTGGTTTCTTTGGCTGCCTCTTTCCGACATCTGTGTTTGTGCCCTTATCAAGACATTGAGTATTTATTTCCACTGACTCACCAGATCTGCTGAGAACTGTTGCCTCCAACCCAAGTAAAAGGTTGTCTTTGTCAATGGCTGTGCTGCACTGGGCTGGTGCTCCCAGCTGTACTCTCTGGTCATGCAGTTGACTGTACTTTTCGACTTGCAAATAAAGGGCTGCAGTGCCAGCTGTCATAAATGAAATGCCAGTTCTTAAAAGCAAAGCTGATGTATAGGGAGCTGGCGACGAGGTGTGTAGCAGCCTGCAGTCTGAACCGGTAGCAAGCAAGTGCTCGGTATAGGACTGGGGAAGGGGTGGGGGAAAGGGTCACCTATGAGAGAAGCATTTTTAGATGAGATATGAAGCCCAGGCACTGAGTGCATCTGTTATTTGTTATAAAAACATCTGTGGCATTTATTTTGCAACGATACAGATGTTAGCCTGGACATACGGGCCAAGTTCGTTTTTGGGTAATTACCTTCCACTGACCTAAAATTCCCTATGTAGTTAACTCAGAATACGTTATTTGCTCTTCTTGTATGCCCATACAGAACATTATATTGTGCTTGAGCAAGCTGCCATGTTTCATTATAGAGATGGCTGTTTTTCATAGGTGAATGATTTCTCATACATTTCATATGTGGTGAAAACTGGAAAGCCCATCTCAATACTTACGGACAAATAGCTCAGAAGGAATGTGAATACTTAGCACCAGTAACTGATTTTCAAGATAGTTTTACAAACAAGCTACCCAGAATTTTGCTGATCTAGGAAAGTTGAAATTCAGCTTGAGGTTAATGCGTCAAGACTTATTTGTTCTAAGAACCACAGGTTATATCCACTCCCATTCACAAACTGTCTCCTGACCTTGCAAAACATGCGAGTATAGGACTAGCGCTGGCATGGTAATGGGACCAAAGATACTAAGACTGAACTCTATTAACCGTTAACAAGACTTTTTTTCTCTATTTGCAGTAAAAAAATGTTCTAGCTGAATCAACATCCAAGACTTCCAAACTAGACTGAATTTATAGGGAACCTGTAAATATTCCTACACTTCTTGTAAGACTCAGTAGTTTTGGACTAGCCTTTCCATTTCTTTTATTTAATTTATCAAGAGTTGTTATTGATTATTATATGAGGAAAATAAGTTTTAAACCTAAGATGAAAGAGTACAGAAAAAGTATACGTGCCTCCTCATGGTAAGCAAAGATGTCTGGGTTTATCTAAAGCAAGAATTTGTACTGGTTTAAGGATTTTTTTATTTTTAAAGCTATATGAATTCCTTAATGTGGACTGAATACACTGAAATTAACTAACTTTATGCCTTCACAAGTACTATGGTATAGAAAAGAAAATACAACTAGTATTAGTAGAAGTAATTTTTATATCAAAAAAGGCACCTCCAATAGGATTTGAATTCTGGTAGCTAAAAAAAAATGTACTTTTGATATTGATGCATCATAGTAGTATTGACACAAAGTCTGCCTATGTGTGCAGGTTTTTCCTTCTCTTACTGATTTTCATATTGGAAACGGAGAAGGATGGTCAGAGGAAATGGAAGGAGCAGTGCTCATTACAGAATTCACTCTGCAGTCATCATAAATGTATCGTAATTAACTAAACCATGATCATCCAAAACTCACATGGAGCCCTTGGAACTGAGTTATCACTTCTCTGTCAGCTCCAGCCCAGCTCAGCGTTGCCTGGACTACTCAACCCTGAAGAAAATCTGTTGCCTCTACTCTTTTCATGTTTCCTAACACCTATCCAAGCTCTGCAGTTTGATGGGATCACCAGTTGCCTACCATCAAAATGCCAGAATAATTGTCTTCTTATATTTGACTTCTTCCTGGAGGGAACAGATTTTACAGCTGACTTGATAATTTTTTTACATGAATCCCTATCCAGCATAGAGTTTCCTGATGACCTTTCCCACAACAGCAGCAGCATTGAGATAAAGTACAGTCTCTCCCTCTGAGCACTGCTGATGCGAGGCAAGATGGTGAGCTGAAGGCACTGCTAGCTTTTAAGGGAATCCCAAATAGTTGTAGGTTTTTACAGTGTGGATATCTATTTTGTCTGTGAGCTAGTCACTCTCAGCTGCCTCTATAGCCAAGGCAGAGAAACACAGACACTTTTAGAGCATGATTAATTTGAAATCGCATTGAAAGTCTTTCTGCTGGCTGCCCAGCAAACCCAGACTCACCAGATCACAGGAGGTATCAGTGTGGTGGATCTCTGGTCAAACAAATCTCACCGCAGCTATCTGGGATATAAAACATCTGAAGAGAAGCACCTAATTTTGTTCCAATCTACCTAAGTGCCAAAACAGGAACAGTGAATACCATCTTATGTGTTTGGTTTGACTCCTTTGAGACTGCTACAATACTCATGCCTAAAGTGTTCTTCTAAACACTTGCTAGAGCATGGACAGACTGTTCAGCATCTAGAAAGACATCCCTCATCCTTAACCATACACTTTAACCATAGAGGTAGCTCTCTACAACTTAAAAACATTCAAAACTAAAAGCTTAAAAAATGAAAAGAACATGGAGAGTGCATCATCCCCACCAGCAGGACAGAGCCCTACAGCCTCGGACACCACAGACTGAACTGCTTCAGTCGGGCACCCTCTTGCTACGGCACAGCAGCACTGAATAGCACGTCGTCACGAAATCCTTCCGAAGCACTCATTTCTGGTCATCCTGTTTTGAAAGCATCAAATGAAAACACAGAACCTCTTACAGTCTTGGATAGTACCATAGATGATGTGCCATAAGGCTGCTAGCACCACACAGATGTGGAGACTTCTTTCATATACTGCAGTTTAAATTCAAGCCCTGTTTCGATATAGACAAACATACCCCGGCTGACTGAAAAGCCCCACTTAGAAGAGTGCAGCTTTGCACAGAAAGGTGAATAAATGTTTCAAAAAGTGAAATTGGAGGAAGGTGTTAAGTTCAACAGCATCCCAAACCTACCTCTGTGATGATGATGATCAAGGACTTTATCTGCTCTCACAGTGGTATCAAGTGGACAACAGTTAAAAACAGCATTTGAACAGGAGGGAAGCTCCCCACTCGGACACAGAGCAGGGGAGCTGGTGGAAGTACGCAGAGAGGTCAAACCTCCACTGACATTTTTGGAAGATCCATCTTCTCACAAAAAGCAAGAGGAACAGAGCTGTCACCTGTCTGCTTGCCCTGACTATATTCATCTGCACATGCTATTTCCTACTTTTCAGATACCCCTACCTCCCTTTTTAAGCTTTCTCTGGTAACTACAGTCCTTGCTTCCAGGTTGCTCTGCCATCCTCTGCACTTATCATCTTGTACTGCTTGGATTCCACTGTGCTCTGATGTTTATTTTTACTCCTTTCCCCATATTCTGCCAGGTGGGGGACCTGAGCTGTTCAGCCTCCTGGTTTTAGAAGAACATCCATTTTTGTCCCTGTCATGCCCTCACTCCACTTCCTTTATATTGACCTAGAGTTTAGTAGTCAGCTGGGGTGAGCTGTCACCGTTGTGGGAATTGTTGATTGTAATGGCTGCAACCTAGATGTGGACCAGGATTTCACTGCACTCGGCGTGGTTCACGTAGGTAGCAAAATGATGATCTCTGGACCCAGAAAGCTTCAAATATGCATTAAAGCTTGAGAGAGAAAAAAAGTAGGGAAGGAGCCATTGACAAAGGGCCAGGGCAATGTCTTTTACATGCTCCCAAAATGAACAAATTACCTGTGTGGAGCCATATCACTGGAAAGCTCCGAATGTCCTAAACGTTCAGTACCCATAAATGTACAGCCTGTAGTCAACCAAATACATAATGCTATTGTCTACAAGAAATGTTTGCTTAGAACTCATCAATAACAAATACCAAAGTAGTAGGTTTTAGTTCATTCTTATCTCTTCAGCTTACTGCTGCTTTTAATATAATTTTTCTAAGTATCTTATCTAAGAATAGATCCCATATCCAGAGATAAATATCAGATTCATATTTAATGAAGTTGTATGTTTTTCATAACACTGACCTCTCATATGTTCCAAAACTATCCCTCAACTGGAAGAGGAATATCTGTTTTCCTCTATTTGGGTTATAAGCAACATCATTGACATCAGGAAATGATAACGTGGGTTACCATTGTGATTTTTGGATAATTGCAACTTTTGTCCTTCCAAGAGAAACCA